AGGTAGTTTTTTTTTTTTTTTTTAAAAATAAACTTCAATGTGTTTTTTTCTCTTATGAATGCGGAAAATGTGTAATATATGTAATTCAGAAAAAGAGTTAACTTTTTCACAAAACCTTCTTGGCTGTATATTAAAGTTGGTTAGACTGAATCATACTTATTTGAATTAATTAAAAGTAATACTTTCATCGTGAAAAAATGTAAGATGATAAAGTAGAAAAGTTTATTTTCTAAAAAAGTTTTTCAATGACGAAAGGTAAGCTTAACGGTTAGATCATATTTATTCAACAGATACATATATTTTTAAATTGAAATATGATATCACTTTTAAAAAACAATACAAATATATGACATTTATGCAGTCATTTTGTTAAAAGAAAATATGACGAATCGGCTCAACGAACTGTTACAAAAATTGTGCTTAGCATATGAAAGTTGGTTACTCGGTCAACTTAATACCTCGACGATAATACTTATTTCAATAAAAGTAAATACTTCCATGCGTGAAGTTAATATACTTCCCAAATAATTTCCTAATAACTTCCAATTGATTGTTTAAAAGGGATTGTTGTTAAGAAAGACTTACGGCATGATGGGATATGAATCTAATCGATTGTGATCCAATTTGTTTGGTTAAAAGGGATATGAATCTAATCGATTATGATCCAATTTGTTTGGTTAAAATGAATTATTCTGAATGAAGTTGATTGAGTAGATTATTTTAAGTTTGTAAGTAAATAATATTTAAAATGTAACAATTAAATTTGATGTGATGTAAAAGTATGAGAGAGAGATTATTGAAATTGATACATAGTTAAAATTATGTGAGTAGAAGAACAGTGAATTAAAGTTGATATGATGTACTATGAAGATGATTGATTGACATTAATTTAATTATATTTATAAAAAAAGAATGAGAGTTTGGTTGAGTTGAATTTTAAGTATGGTAATTGGTAACAAAATATTGTGATCGGTCAAAACCGATTATGATCCATATCCAACCAAGCCCTTAACATTTAAAAGAATTGCAATTCATTGTGAATATTTAAATCATTTGTTTAAATTAGACAAATGATCAAAACCGGCCTACTAGTTTTCTTACTCTTTTATAAATAAGTCAAACCTCAGGGGTTACATGTAATAACCCACTATACAATCAATAAGGTGAGTAAATACCTTAAAGAAAGACTAACCTAGTACTAGCACTGGTGGTGCCGTCGCCTTCACGATCACTTTTTTCCTGTATTAATTAATACAATGCAGCTTAATGAAGTTGCTGCAATTAATGAAAATTGCATCACAATCAGTGAGAAGATATAATTTGAAAGATCCCATAATTGATCAGAGTGAACAGAAACTTCTATTCTCTTATAAAATTCTTCAAATGCATGCTTACCAATAAAAGGTCACAGACTCACAGCTCACATGTTACATATATACAAATCACACAAAAACAGCTTTTAATTGATTGTTTTGTCACCCATGCAATAAATGCTCATGATCAGGGTAAAATGCAATTCAGAGCTCAAAAAGTTGGTATTTGCATTATGCACCCTGTTCTTTCATGTTAATTACACAACCCTCCCCCACACATTAGAAACCGGTGCAAATTGCAAAATATACCTCGAACCTGTTCAAGTTTGTATCTACTGCTTCGATAAATTGTATGCTGACACATTATTAGTAATGGGCTCGACGAGCCAATTTAGGGGTTCACCCGTGGGGTCCACAGGAGATATGTGGAGCACGTTTTTATGGTGTTCGTATAGTGTTCGTCTATGGCCTATGCTCACGTAACTAATCCCAGCAGCTTCAATCAGCTTATACAAATGAGCCTGCAAACAAGCACAAGTTGCGTGCAAAAGGTCAAATCGGCTGTTAACACGTCCCCAACAACCCGAAAGTTTGACAAAGTTATAATAGGAGAGCATTTTCATCAAATTATGCTAAAAATCCAGCTAACACTGCTGCATGAACAGATAATTAACTGTGCCGTTAAGCAAGGGGAACATGAGAGCCAAACTGCAAACAAAAATGTTTCAGTGAGAAGCTAAAAGCCTGAGAATAAATAATAATCTATTGACAAAATAATCAATGTGGCCGTGATTGACGTATAAGCAAAACAAGTATTAAGTCATAATGTAATAATGATGATAATATAAGTGTAGCTCAGTGTTGCGCATATGCATTGAACAAAACAAACATGTCTCACAACTATGTAAATAATAGTGATAATATAATCGAGTATAAATAAATTTAATTGACTCTTCTTCTATATTTCACGTAATTATTTCAATTTATTTATCTTCATGGTGTTCTAGTTTTTAATCGATCTATAAAATGTATAAGGTCGTGTTTTTTATATTAATAAAATATGTTGTGACTTAGATAGAAAATGTTTGAAATTTTATAAATAGCTGCAAATGAGCCAAACTGAGACGATTTTTCCAGTCCCCAGACTCAGCTCAATTGAAAATCCATCTCCAGCTGAAGGTAACATTTAAAATTCAAAATTGTATGGTTATTACTTCAAGAACGTTTCTAAATTTTTTATTTAGAGCGGTAAAAAGGGGAAAATTATACAAACCTAATATATAAATAAATAATAACACAGGTCTCTAAACAAATTGTTCATGAACCAATATATGAACTTGTTTAGGAGTGTCAGAACTATGTTTGTCCCACATCAATTAGTTATTGGGTTGTTATAATGTGGGTTGGGCATCCTCTCCCTTTGAGCTAGCTTTCGGGGATGAGTTCTATCCAAGCACATTTATCATGATATAAAGCACCCATATTTTGTTTGTTTGGAGGAAATGTTAAATTTTGACCTGACCCATTTGGTTTGGCACGTTGTGCATGAGGGACGGTGTTAGAATTGTATTTGTCCCACATTAATTAGTTACTGCCTACTGGGCTGTAATTATGTATGTGTGAGTTGGGCACCTAAGCATTTCTTAGGCTAAAAAAAGAGTGAAGGCTCTTCTCGTTTAAATAAATGAGTTGTATGTTGAACTCAGGCTCAATTTATTCATTAAACCTGGCTGCAATAGTTCAACGCAGACTTATGGCTCACAAAAAGTCTAAAGTCAATGGTGTTCCAAAAACAACTAAATGAGTTGTATGTTGAACGCAGGCTCAATTTATTCATTAAACCTGGCTGCAATAGTTCAACGCAGACTTATGGCTCACAAAAAGTCTAAAGTCAATGGTGTTCCAAAAACAACTTAGACACAGCATTTACAAAATTTTTGAAGAACAAAAAGAGATGTCCAATTTAAATTTAAATACCTCATTGGTTTCATCTAAAGCGCTTGTCGACTCATCTAGCAGGGCCAAGTTAGGTCTCGAGAGCAACAAGCGTGCAAATGCTAGGCGTTGCTGCTCACCAATAGATAGAACACTAGACCATTCATACATAGAATCTAGGTCAAATCGTGATAATATGTAGCTAAGGCGAACATCTTCGAGAACTTGGACTAAATCATCAGTTGTTGGCTTCACAGGTCTTGAATAATTGTCTCTCTTTCGGGTCAGGAAAGGCAGCGAACCTGTTATATGAATGTCATCAATTTAAACATGACTTGAGCAAAAGTATTTGTCCGGAAGACACACACCCTCCTTATAATTTACCAAGTTCATTCCTTCACTTATATGATCTGTTGCATGGCCTGTGTTCCAATTGTACAAAACTAATTTTTTTTCTTTCATCGCCACAAGACATAAAGGATGAGTTTTTACACTTAAACATGAACAAATTACTATCTCTGACTAACAAATTTAATTTCTAACATCTGCAGTTCCTAAAATGTCAGCACTATTATTGTGTCAAAAATTAAAAGTAAAATTGAAAAGTTAATTACAATTGTCAGTTCAGAATGTTCAAAATACTAAGACTCTAAGGGCAATTAAGAACTGCGGTTTTCCTATAATATGAAAGTCTCGGTACTTTAGACCATACCATTCGAAGTATCACCATCCGACACGGGTACTGGTTTGTCACTCCAAGTAGGATAAAGCAATTGTTGGCGTAACGTTCCCAAAACCATGTATGGTTTTTGAGGAAGGAAGAATACATCTCTTGAGTTATTCTTATTCAGTTGGTCAGGTTCGGGCCCATATCGCGAAGTTGCTTTAGGTGAAGCTGCATTTTCAGAAAGGTGTGGCAAAGTATCCCTTGTAGTTTTGTTATAGAATCTTATTGTTCCCCTTCCGAAGCTCCACAGTCCAGCTAAAGCTCTCAGCAATGAGGTTTTACCACTTCCACTTGGTCCTGTAATCTGTTAATGCAGCTATGTACCAGAAATCAATCCATTTTTAAACTGAGAATCTACATTTAGGATATCTCAATGATTAAATATAAGCACGAACCAGCAAATGGTCCTTCTCACAGATCTCCAATGTCAAGTCCCTTATAAGAGTAGCTTTACTTGGAGTCAACAGGGTCAAATACTCAATTGAGAGCAATTTTGAATCGCCTTTGAGTGGCACAGCTCCATTACACATTTGTGAAATGTTTGGATTGCAAAATTCACGATGGATTTGTTCCACAGGTTCACCGTCTGTACTGGTTTTGTTACTAGTTAAAAGATCATCAAATTCACCTGTCATTGGAAATTATGTTACAACCAGTTCAACCGCTGTGATGAATTCACAGCAACATGCATACGTAAATTTTTTGGTTTTATGTTTTCATGATCAAGAACGCTATGAAAAAAGGTGAACAAGTGCAGTGACTTGCATATTGTACACCTTATTATGCTGTTAAGTCATATACCAGTGGTCACTGCACGCAGAGGTACAACATTGGTGCTATTTGCAAGTAGTTCCTTCCCATTAGTGTCAATATAATTACTATAAGGGTGCTTTTAGATTGAGGGAATGAAATCCGAAGAATTTAAAAAAAAAATAGATTTCAAATCCCTTGAATTTCAAAATTCATGCTTTAGAATTCCTTGTTCGGATATGGACGGAGATTTATGGAAATGATTATAAATCTGTTGTCTTGCTCGAGAATACATTGTTGGCTTCCGGTGGTCCTCGAGGTGCTGGGATGAAGAGTGAATTAGAAAAGACTAGGTTAGAGGAGTCATTGAAATGCCTTTGAATAATAAGTAAAATCTATTGGACTCTTAGGGTGAATTCGAAATCTTCAATTTTCTAATTCATCCAAACATGTACGGGAATTTGGAATTGAGAAATTGAAATTCATAACCCAAGTCCCTGAATCCAAATACACCCTAAAGGAATTCTAAAGTAAGAAACATCACAATTCTTTTGCCGGAAAGGTTACTGAGGCCTTCTCGAGTTCATGCAATCAGTGAAAGGAATTCCATCTCAAGATGTCTTATGGAGAATCAGAACAAGAATATCTCTGTGAAAGATTAGATCAGAACAGTGTGAAAATCAAGGTGCAATATCTCAGTAAACTCACGAAGTTTCTGTAAGAAATATATAATCTGCTGTTTCCTTGCAGCTTCATTGCAATAGCAATGCAAATTCCTTGCAGCTGCAAAGCACCTTCATAGCAGCCATTATGGGCTGATTTTTCAGCTTAAGTAATTTCTAGGAAAGTCACTAGGTAGTTGTTTTTAGTTCTTATAAATAGGGATGTAGTTTTGTATTTGTAAACACAGCAAAAACTGAATAATCAATACTTTGAGTTGTTCAATATCTTCTTCTATCCTAAAAGTGTCCGTTTGTGTCGGGAAGCATTTTTGCTTACACGAACAGTGCATCCTAGCTGCAAATAAAGACGAGCAGGGACTAACAAGTGGTATCAGAGCCATGGCAAGCCAAGATGCTGCGTCGATGGTGCAAGGGAGCGGTGCACACGCTTCACCGCGCCAGGAGGTCATCATCCACAGGACCGTACGGGACGTTGGCGGGGCCAACTGGCCGGTCCTCACACGCACAAACTATGGCGAGTGGGCGGTGCTGATGAAGGTCAAGTTGCGTGCGCGTAAGCTATGGCGGGCCATTGAAGAAGGCACCGAGGATGAAGAAGAGGACTGTGCAGCGATGGAAGCGATTCTATCCGCTGTGCCTCACGAGTACGTGGAGTCGCTGGGCGTAAAGGACTCCGCAAAGGCTGCTTGGGACGCCCTCAAGGCCATGCGCATCGGGTCTGATCGCGCAAAGAAGGCGAAGGCGCAGCAGCTGCGGCGGGAGTATGAGGCGCTGGTGTTCCGCGACGGCGAGGCAGTGGAGGATTTCTCGCTCCGTCTGCAGTCGCTCGTCAGTCAACTGGCGGCGCACGGCGTCACCATCACCGACGAGGAGGCGGTCGCGAAATACTTGCGTGTCGTGCCACCTAAGTACGCCCAGATCGCGCTCTCCATCGAGACGTTGATCGACATGTCCACCCTCACGATTGAGGATGTGACTGGGCGCTTGCGGGCGGTCGATGACCGTGTGGAGACGGCGACGATAACTACCAGCGGCAAGTTACTGCTGACCGAGGAAGAATGGGCAGCTCGTATGCGCGAGAGGCGGCCCGGGGAAGGCTCCTCCAGCCGTGGCGGCTACGGCAAGCGTCGTAGCAAGGCCCCGCAGAAGAAGAAGGACGGCGACAACGTGCGTCCGATCGACAAGGACACTTGTCGACGCTGCGGGAAGACAGGACACTGGGCCCGGGATTGCAAGAATCCCAAGAAGGAGAAGAGGGAGGCACACCTCGCGCAGGTAGACGACGAGGAGCCAACTCTTCTAATGGCAACGACCTGCAAGTTGCACGACGTTGAGCCAGAGTTAGAGGAAGTCAAGGCGGCGGTTGCAGAGCAGGGGAAGGCACTACAGGTCGTTCACCTCGACGAGTCAAGTGCCCAAGTCCACCTTGGACGAATGGGCGGTGGCATGGAGCAGAGGTGGTACCTAGACTCCGGCGCCAGCAACCACATGACCGGCTCCAAGGAGGCCTTCTCCGAGCTTGATGACGGCGTGACGGGGACGGTGAAGTTCGGAGACGGCTCAAAGGTGGAGATTCGAGGTCGCGGCAACGTCATCTTCCGGTGCCAGAACGGCGAGCACCGCGCATTGACGGATGTGTACTATATCCCGCAGTTGCGTTCAAGCATCGTCAGCATCGGGCAGTTGGACGAGCACGGCTGTGAGGTGCTTGTCAAAGGCGGCGTGCTAAAGCTCAGGGACCGAGACCAGCGGCTGTTGGCCAAGGTCCAGCGTTCCCGGAACCGCCTCTACCTCCTCGACTTGAAGGTGGAGCAGCCAGTGTGCTTGGCAGTACGACACACCGAAGAGCCATGGCTATGGCATGCTCGTTTCGGCCATTTGAACTTCGACGCACTCGGCCGGCTGAGGAAGATGGTGCGCGGGCTCCCGCACATCGAGCACGCAGGCGAGCTGTGCGACAGCTGCCTGGCAGGGAAGCAGAAGCGGCTGCCCTTCCCAAAGGCGGCCAAGTATCGTGCGGCGGACGTCCTAGAGCTCGTCCACGGCGACCTCTGCGGGCCGATCACACCGGCTACGCATGGCGGACGGCGCTACTTCCTGCTGCTCGTGGATGACTGTAGCCGTTTCATGTGGCTGCAGCTCCTGACGAGTAAGGATCAGGCAGCAGAGGCAATCAAGCGGTTCCAGGCGCGAGCCGAGGTAGAGTCTGGGAAACGGCTGCGCGTGCTGAGGACGGATCGCGGTGGCGAGTTCACATCGGTGGAATTCGCTGCGTACTGTGCAAACCAGGGGGTGGTGCGCCATCACACTGCGCCGTACTCACCGCAGCAAAACGGTGTAGTGGAGCGGCGGAATCAGACCGTGGTGGGCATGGCCCGAAGCATGATGAAGGCAAAGGGCATGCCAGCGGAGTTCTGGGGAGAGGCTGTGAGCACGGCAGTGTTCATCCTCAACCGTGCGCCCACAAAGGCCCTGAAGGGCATGACGCCATTCGAAGCTTGGCATGGTAGGCAGCCCGACGTCTCGTTTCTAAGGACGTTTGGGTGCATTGGCCATGTGAAGAAGACGAAGCCCTTCATGTCCAAGCTTGAGGATAGGAGCACACCGATGGTGTTCCTAGGCTACGAGGAGGGGAGCAAGGCCTATCGGCTCTACGATCCACGTGGAGGCAAGGTGGTGGTTTCGCGGGATGTGGTGTTCGACGAAATGGCGGCCTGGGATTGGGAGAATCCTGGCACGGGGGAAGCCCGTGGCGTTGGCGGTACGTTCGTCATCGAGCATTTGGTGATCCACGGAGGAGGAGATGTGGGAGTAGAGGAGCCAGCTGCGGACGCGCCAAGTCCAACAGCTGTGGCGGCGTCGGATGAGCCGCAAAGTCCTGCCATGACGGGCACGGGCGAAGAATCTCCACCAGTGGCTGCACACACACCCTCACCACATTCCCCTACTGCGGCAGGACAGGGGACATCTCCGACGACAGTTGAGTTCGCCTCTCCTCCAAGCGACATCGACGAGTATGTGGATGCCTTCCACGACGGCGAGGGGGTGAGGTTTCGCAGGATGGACAACCTTGTTGGCAACTCGGCGGTACCAGGCTTAGCGAGCCGATTACTCGATGATCAGGAGCTGCTCCTCGTCAGCGCAGAGGAGCCATCGACTTTCGCGCAGGCCGAGGGAGATGTCAATTGGAGACGAGCTATGCTAGAGGAGATGAAGGCGATCGAGGAAAATGAGACGTGGGAGCTCGTCGATCCACCTCCAGGCTGTCATCCAATCGGGCTCAAATGGGTCTACAAAGTCAAGCGGGACGAGTGTGGCGCCATAGTCAAGCACAAGGCGCGCCTCGTTGCTCGCGGTTTCGTCCAGCGAGAGGGCATCGACTTTGAGGAAGTTTTTGCACCAGTGGCGCGCATGGAGTCAGTTCGCCTACTGCTAGCCATGGCGGCAGCAAAGGACTGGCGCATTCATCACCTGGACGTGAAATCGGCCTTCCTAAATGGAGAGCTAGCGGAGACTGTTTTCGTCAAGCAAGCCCCGGGCTTCGTCGTCAAGGGAAAGGAGCACAAGGTGCTACGGCTGCGGAAGGCACTCTATGGGTTGCGACAAGCCCCGCGAGCGTGGAACGCCAAGCTCGATGCCACTCTGGGTACGCTTGGGTTCACGCGCTGCGAGACTGAGCACGCGCTCTACACGCGACGACGGGGGAAGGAGGAGCTCGTCGTCGGCGTGTATGTAGATGACTTGATCATCACCGGGGCACGAGAAGGGGACATCAACGGTTTCAAGCACGAGATGGCAGCTCGTTTCCGCATGAGCGATCTCGGGCAGCTCTCCTACTACCTCGGCATCGAGGTGAAGCAGGGGAGAGACTCCATCACTCTCTGCCAGCGTGCGTATGCGGGGAAGCTGTTGGAGCGGAGCGGCATGGCTGACTGCAAGTCATGCGCGACTCCAATGGAGGAGCGGCTGAAACTGACGAAAGCCAGCACCGCGGAAAAGGTGGATGCAACACTCTACCGGAGTATCGTCGGCGGGCTACGCTATCTAGTCCACACGAGGCCAGATATTGCATTCGCCGTGGGCTATGTCAGTCGTTTCATGGAGGACCCCCGAGAGGATCATTGGGCTGCGGTAAAGCGGCTGTTGCGCTATGTCAAGGGGACGGTGGACCAGGGCATCATCTTTCCCAAGACCGGCGGTGGAAGTGGGCTGCGGCTCACGGTTTTCAGCGATGCAGACATGGCAGGCGACATTGATGGGCGGAAGAGCACCTCCGGTGTGCTCGTCTTCCTTGGATCAGCCCCAATCTCATGGCAGTCGTTGAAACAGAAGATCGTGGCGTTGTCTACGTGCGAGGCGGAGTACGTGGCGGCAGCCACAGCGGCATGTCAGGCGGTCTGGCTGCGTAGGTTGCTGGGCGAGCTGACCGGCGAGGAAGCTCGTCCACCAGCTCTGATGGTGGACAACCAGCCCGCCATTGCCCTTGCAAAAAATCCAGTCCTCCATGACCGGAGCAAGCACATCGATACCCGTTTTCACTTCATCAGAGATTGTGTCGATGAAGGACATATTGTTTTGGAGTTTGTCGAATCCGGACGGCAGCTCGCAGACATCCTTACCAAGCCACTCGGCCGTCTTCGGTTCATGGAGCTGAGGACCAAGATTGGAATGATAGGAAACAAGGAAGAGCAGCATGATTAGGGGAAGAATTGTAAGAAATATATAATCTGCTGTTTCCTTGCAGCTTCATTGCAATAGCAATGCAAATTCCTTGCAGCTGCAAAGCACCTTCATAGCAGCCATTATGGGCTGATTTTTCAGCTTAAGTAATTTCTAGGAAAGTCACTAGGTAGTTGTTTTTAGTTCTTATAAATAGGGATGTAGTTTTGTATTTGTAAACACAGCAAAAACTGAATAATCAATACTTTGAGTTGTTCAATATCTTCTTCTATCCTAAAAGTGTCCGTTTGTGTCGGGAAGCATTTTTGCTTACACGAACAGTGCATCCTAGCTGCAAATAAAGACGAGCAGGGACTAACAGTTTCATCACACTTTCACGAATAATTTCTCGCATTATGTAAAGTTACCCGGTTCTGAAAACTATTGATCAATGTTGGAAATTACTCTTGCTTAAAGATATCCAAAAGATACACAACCTGAGCATACAATCCATACAGGAGAAACAACGTACCTAGTCGATCAATGACAGCAGAAAAGGCACTGATGGCCTGAAATTGGTACACGATGAGGGAAAAATCTCCGAGTATGTGATTAAAAGCCGACATAGACTGATTTATTACTCCAAATTCAATTTTTCCAGAGAAGTACATGGGTGCAACAACTGCTGCAGGAAGAATCTGAATCAGGTATCGGTAGCCGCTGGTGAAGAAATCCAGGTTTCTGGAAGATATCAACAATTTCTGTAAAGTTAAAGATGGCACAAAAATGAATATATATGGTTAAAAGTTGTGATTGGTTCAACTTTTTAAGCAGAACATTACCATAACTCAAAGAATTCAATGGAGGTTTTTGCCTTCTGACTTTACTTCGAAGATAAATATTGCAGTAGGTAAAATCAGTTCTCTGCCTCCAAATGAAAGACTCTAGCGGTTGTACAAGAAAGTGGTTGAATTTGCCACAAAATAAACTTGACTACATTTTTCAAATGTTTTCTTGGGCTTCCTCACAATGAATACGCTGAACTTTGTTAAAATTGCTTCTTAAATATGCTATTCAGATGTAAGGATTACATTCAACTGTCCTGGTTCGGAGATCAAGAGTGAAAAAAATTTGCGCTCACTGTCAAAAATGATCTCGAGAACCATAACTTTTTTCTAATTAAAAATCCCAAGTAAATTGGCAGAGGGCGAAGAAGCAAATTGCATAGTATAATTGGTTGTTATTTACGGGGAAATGATTGAAGTACAATGTTGATTAAAATTAATTCCAATTATATTTACAGAATTTCTGCAAGAAATTGTGCAGATTGCCTCCAACATTCCACAGGATTTTATTCCATAAGAACAAAGAATTTTGATTTTAGAAGTCCTATGTACATGAAAATCACATATGCATAGGCTCACAAGGAAATGAAATTGCAGTACATTAGAAGATAGAGCTTAAGAATTTACATACACTAAGATTGTCAAAAGCACTACTGAACCGCTGCAGCAGTAGTTGCATCTCATTTTCCTCTCCATCATAGAAGGCAATGGATTCTGCATTTTCTCTCACACGCACAAGACCATATCGAAAATCTGCTTCTTTTTTCTCTTGCAAGAAGTTCAAATTCACCAATCCCTAAAAGTACATTTGTTTCATCACTAGTAGTCGCATATATGTTATAACAAGTATTTTTGGCAAAATATTGGGTTATAATAGGTAGAACTTAGATCTTCTAAGACAGATAATTGACATGTGAAATAGTTAGGATTACATTGATCAGCGGAGAAGAAAAATTACCCTCCCAAGGTATACACTGATAGCTGTTCCACCAAATGAGTATCCAAGAAGTACGAGAAAAAGTGGTGGATAAATACCATACAAAATGTTACTGAAAGATATCAAGTCTACAGTCGCATTGAAGAGCGTCAGGGAAAACGCAAGAGCAGTTCCTGTGAAAGAACTTAGATCATCAACAATCCGCTGATCAGGGTTATCAATGATTGACTGGGATTGTATCTTGTAAAAGGTTCGGTTTTTCAGATAGCGGTCCATGTAATAGCTTGTCATCCAAGATCTCCATCGTAAAGAAAGAGTGTCTTTTGCATAATCTCGCAATACAAAAACCTGCAATGCAATAAATTCAGCAGCAATTATGCTTAAGAAGCAACAAAGTCGGAACAGCGGTTAAGTAACAGAAGAAGACAAAAATCTGACGAACTACCCTTCACCCACCAATAATTGCATTTACTTTTTACATGTGAGAAAAGAAAATTATTCCATTGCATGTCACACCAATAGCATGAAAAAAAATTTAAGTCCAACATATACAACTTATGGTTACAGTGTCCTGTACTTTCATGTCCAGAGAGTT